GATGCATACACTGGCCCATACAAGAACAAGTATAGATATTGGACTGGACTTCTATTGATAATACGTCTACTACTGACCACTGTATTCTCATACACTACTGGAACAATGCCACAAATCAATAACTACATCATTTCTTTCATCACCTCTGTTCTCTTGATACTATCAAAAGGTGTTTATAGAAAAAGATACTTGAATGTACTTGAAATATTTCACCTTTTTAATTTGGGATCATTGTGTTTGTTCAATGGACTGTCGGATCACATGGGATATGGCTGTTATACTACCATTATACTCACTGGAGTATCAGTTAGTATGTCTCTGCTTGCTTTCATTGCTACACTAATAGTTCACATCTTTAAGAAGATATGCTCTAACTATCACTGTGTAAAGAACAGAAAAAGGGACGAACTAATTTTGCAAAATGAAAAAGAAGACGAGTATTCTCCAGCAGACATTGTCATTAACAGGAGAGAGCCTTTAATTTTTGAATTTTAAGTGTATTTTAATTTATTTTCCACAGTTGAATCTTTTAGAAATATAATATCTACAAACTGAATTAAATTGAGCAATATCAAAACATAGTATTATGTCTGTGACTTTTTTAACTCAATAAGGTCAGGGGAAGGGCTGCCAATTTCATTATAAAAGAGCCAACAGCAAACAATCAGCTGTAGCCAGTTTAGAGATGTCATTCTAATTCAATTGCATATGAATGAAGTCTAAACATAGCAATTTATTGCACCAATGTATACAGTCAGCACATTGACAATTGTTTTTTAGAAATTATTATTTTTTAAATCAAGCAGCATCAATTGTATAGGAAAGTCCTACATACACACAATGATTTATAAGTGTCTCTAAGACTGGGTTTCTTTCTTAAGCCACTCCCTAATGGAGGCTTCATCTCTCTTCAGCCATTGAGTGTTGTTACGTATTGCCTCTAAGCTCTGACGAATTGCACGCTCAGCAACCGGTACTGGGTTCGCTTTGAAGAACTCGTCAACTTCGACAGCTTTGTCTTCACCAATAAAACCAATAGTAACAATCTATTAGATAGAATTAAAACTTGACTACAAAAAGACTGCTACCAATAACTACTAGTACATATGCTAGCTTGAGGACCTTTACAAACAAGAGGTCAGTAGTATAATGTTCCAATACACTCTTTAGTATTGTGTGTGTAGTGTCTGTATCCTACCTCAATGACTCTTGAGAGAAGGAAGCTCCCTTGAAACTTTTTCTGGTATGTCTCCCAGTTCTCCTTCATAAACTGCCAAGTTAGATCGCGGCCCAAACGACTAGAAAATAAAAATGGCTTTGACTTCTCTTTCTCTCTCTTTTTTTTTACCTTCCACCAGCAGCAGAGGCAATAGGTCCCCAGGCATCCTGATTCCTTACTTTATCCTGGAGGAGAAAGAAAATGACGATAACTGAGTAAGTATATTAACATACCGATAGTCCTAACTCCAGACATCTCTTGACTAATGGCTCCGTCTTCCCTCGTCCAAGGACACGATAAATACGACTGCGTTCATCACTATCATCAGTCTCATCGTGAAACTAATGGGCGGAGTTAACGAAGTGGGAGGGGTTGACACCTTACCTTAACCAATTGATCAAAGGTTTCATCGTTACCATTGGCCATGCAAGTACCAAAGACAAGGTCCTTGAGGTCTGACGGGATTAACGAGGTCTTATTAACATGAGCAGCGAAACGACGCTGAGCCTCAGCCACTGCTTCCTTGTTTCCATAGTTACAGTACTGCTTCAGGACCATCCCACGCAGCATCTTGTCAAGAGGAGCTGGTAAATATTAAAATAAAAAAATAGTTATATTAATTTTACTGACGTACTGTCGGAGTCTTTTTGATCCCAGCCTAGCCTTGATACAACATCAGCGAAGAGACTCTGAGCATAAGAATTGAACTCGGCAGAGAAATCAGAATAATTGGCCAATCTCTCAAGCAGAGACAAATTAGAGACAAGATTCTGCCAAACGGTGAAATTAGTCTCGGAAGAGAAAGACTTTAAGAGACGGAGTACCTCAACAGTACTGCCAACACCAGCCCTAGCCTATGAAAAGGAGAGAGAGTAAAAGAGAGAGAGTGTAAGTACA